GAAACACTGGATCTCAATTTCTTGTTAAATAAGATAGTTTCTTTCCGTCAACATACCTATAATTAGCAATTCCCCCATTAACATCAAATTCACCTGTTGGACATTTCCTTATTTTATAGATTGGTACTTGCAGATAGTTCACAAGGGACTCCTAATGGCTTTCTTTTATAGATGATTTTCCTTTTTCAACACTTCCATTAAGGACAACATTTTGACCTTCCACCTGAGCCGTAGATCTCTATGGCCTCTCCAGAGTTAACTTTAAACCTCTTCTCTAATAAAGTCTCACCTTGACCTGTCTGTTCATTAAGATAGATGGACGGGTCTTTGCAGGTTTATGCCTCACGCCTTCCATTGCTAAGATGATAAACAGTGCTCCAACAGATGATCACAGCAATTATTTTCCCACACATTTCTCCCATAACTCTTGTATTTATAAGATCTGTCCAAAGTTTGTCCTCGAGGGCCACCGTCCCACAGGTTTTCAGTGTTTCTTGACTTCAGCACAGCTGATTCTGATGACTATAATTCAGCAAAAGCCTGTTAATCAGCTATTAATGGAAACCAGCTGTGTTGAAGCAGGGAACCTGCAGAACAGCTTTGGACATGCCTAGTCTTTATGATGCTTGCTTGTCAAAAAAATCTTCTATATTGGCCCTCTGGGGCCTTCTGAGAACAGCTGAATTTCTACCAAGATATACACACAGGTGGACAAATTGGGTAGCTTACAAAAGTTAGTTTCATTGCTAGACTGTATAAAGGGACTGTATAAAGCTAAAAAAAATCTGAATACCTTCTATTTCCGTTCAGTGCTGGGGTATCATATAGGATTGTGATAAATACATGGAAGATTTTGTTATTATAACTAACAAAAATTATTAGATATTATCTAATATAAAACATCTATGGATCATGTTTCAAATGTTATTGGTATATTATTATTTTGATGAAAGCTTAAAACATTTAGAATGAATACATTTTTGTATATCTATGGATTATTACTGCTTGTGAAAATTTCTTAGAGAATTTAAAAAATATTGAAAGAAGATTGTGAATCCCTCTTTTTCTTTGCCACAACGGATGAACTGTAAATTCTGTTGGTAAAAAACAGGGAACGAGAGATGTAAACAGGATGCAAATACAAGACTTTGCAGAAAATTAAAAAAGTACTGCAAATACAAAAAAGAGACTTAAAAGACATAAAAAAACACATGAAAAGGAAAAATAAGTGCAAGTGAGAAATGTAAAAGCGAGAACATGCTGCAAACATAAAACCCACTGCAAATATATAAACAATGCTGACACACAGTACACATACAAAGGAGAAATACAGCGAGTAGGAAAACTACAAGAAAAGATGCTACCTCTGCATAATTATTATGCTCCAGACCAGTAGGCGGAGACGATCATCAACACAAAAGCCCAGACTCTTGGCAAAGGCATAAACTGGATGTTTAGAGAGATTGTTAAAAATGAAAAAGAAAGGAAAACTCACCTTTTCTTTCTTTAATCAAAAATATCTTCTGGACCGCATCCAGTTTGTTTTCAATGTATTCATATATGGTGCATTGCCCAGTTTTGTTTTCCTTTGCATGCTTGCATTATTCATGTATTTGCGTTGGGTTTTGTATTTGGAATGTGCTCCTAATTCGCCTCTCTCTATTTTTCTGATATACAGCATTTTTTATTTGCAGCATTTTTCCTTTGCATGTGTTTTGTTTGTTTTTGTCATTTTGCATTTGCAGGACTTTTAAAATTTGCTGTGAATATGCAGGGCGTTTGCTCCACTCAGCCATAATTTTAACAATGTTTTGACAAATGCTTCCATAAATCTTTTATTTTAAATTGTGGACTTTAATTTATCTTGTATTCTAAAATGTAAATATTCTTTATTTCAGTATGTAGTTCTAAAGAACAAGAAATATGACATGAGAATATAAAGATGAACCTTATTATAAATTAAACATCTCCCTGAGCTTAACTCACTGAGGTAGGCAACAGTTTTCTTTAAATATGTCCTTTTATCCTATTAAAAATTATGTGTTTACGCTTTAACATGTAAGCTTTCTGAGACACGTCCAAAGTCAAGTAGCTGAAGAGAAACTCAGAGCCCAGCCTTGTTTACACAACTAAGAGCTTGGCTGCAGCTTTGGGAGGATGTTGACCCATGAGCTGTCTGGTCACCAGAGGCACGCAGTAACAATTCCTTTTTTGGTGGGACAGGATAGTCAGCCAGTCTCAGCACAATCATTTGAGACAAACAGAGCTCAGAAATCTGACCTCAATAGTTTACTTCTTTGTAGCACAGTAGGGGTAATTAGTGACGTTATTCTTAAATTTGCCATGGAAACAGAGAGAATCTTTTCATAGTTTGGTGTAATTGTGAAAATACAGCCCTGAGAATCAGTTTGCTCTACTGTAAGAATTGCAAAGTGGGTGGCAATTTGTTTCAGAAACAGCGTCAGTCCAACACATTTGGTGTTTTTATGTTACAGCAGGAAATACTAGAAAAAATCCAAGCAAACTGTTAACGCACAAATGTGGATTTAATGTTTCTTTTTTTTCTTTTTTTTAACTCAAAACAACAAAGACATCAGTTCTGACAACTGCCACATCACCGTCAGCAGGAGGCTGCACAGCCATGTTCATCCATGTAGATTTATTCATGACTCAGATATAAATTCACACCTCATTTACAGCCACAAGCTAAATACACAATTGATGGTAAAGGCTGTTCATGTTGTTGCATGTAAAACATAAACAGCATTTCTTTAATTAAATCTGTAATTCAGTCATTCATTTCCACACACCGAGCTGCAAATGACAAAGATATAAGATCAAATGGACAGTTAACTGCCTGATTCCTGCAAACCCACAGAATGAAGCTGAAACTCTGACTTAAAGGTCAGAGTCTGAATATGTATTTGCAAGCATATGTTTTACTATATACATTTATTTGACTGCCAAATATTTGCAAACACACAGAAAATACTCCAGTGATAAACGCAAAAGCCCAAATTCAGTCCATTAGAACTACTACCCTGAAACCTTTTAATGGATCCCCTCACCAACAGCAAGAAATTGAATAAATGTCTAATTAGCAGTTCTCAGTAAAGCTATCTTATCAGATCTATGGAATCAGGAATGCATGAATGGCCTGTTTTAAGTCATGCCATGGAAAACCAATCAGATTTTAGTCCTAGCAGACTGTCTCCTTCAGGAACATAAGCCATTTCATGGTTTCCTCAGTTTCAGAAATTTGCCTCTGACATTTCACGCTACTATTATATATCATGGATGTTTGACTTTTTCACAAAAGCCTTGATCCTTTTAAAAAATGAATGGATATATATTTTTCGGTTTATGTGAGATTTATTTTTTATTGTTTAATTAATGTAAAGCCCTTAAAAGGCACACTGTGGACTTTGTGACCTAAAGAGTTTATTCGTTAGCGCAGGATGAAAGAAGTATTGAAGAGTATTATCTCAGCTTTGTTATTACACAGGTAAGTTAACACCAAAGTGGCCAAAAGTTACCCAGAGTGCCTTTAAATAGTCTTTGTACTGATTGCGCTATTTACATTTTTCTTTTTCACTTGAGGACACCCATCTCTAATATTATTAAACCATGAGCATTGGTTTCAACTGCCTGTGGCCTTTACATGGTCTGGGTTCTTCAGCGTTTCCTTTCCCCCATTGTAATTCATTAGGTTATCAGTCTGATATGAAAGGTCTCTAACATCCAAAACATTTATAAACAAAACAAGGCAAAAACAAAAGGGGCGGAATACTTTTTTACAGCACTGTATGACCAAAAATCCTAGCACAAAGTCATCATACAAGTACAAAATAATCCCCTTGACAAAGACATTGTAAAAAAAAAAAAAAATTATATATATATATATATATATATATATATATATATATATATATATATATATATATATATATATATATATATATATAATAAAATTAAAAGTAAAAAACACAACCCACTCATACAAACTAAAAGATACAGGAATTAGTTGTAAGGCATTGAATATCATCATCATCATCATCATCATCATCATCATCATCATCATCATCATCATCATCATCATCATCATCATCATCATCATCATCATCATCATCATCATCATCATCATCATCATCATCATCATCATTTTTTGGCATACAAATCCCGTACAGCATGAAAAGACATAAAAACATTACTTTTAAACAAATCATGGTAGTTTCATTGAAAAGCTATTTGGTAAGGAATAATGGTGACGAATGGTACAAGAACTAAACCTGAAATTTTCATATTCAATTTAATTGTGTGGATCATTTACTAATTAATTAATTTAATATTTTTTATCCTTGTCTATCCTGCATTATATAATTGTTGAACCCTTATTCCTAGTGCTTAATATACTAAGATACTTTGGCAGAAAACAACAATAATGCCAGGATAATAAACCAGTTTTCTAATTACATCATGCTTTATGCAGCAGAGAAGACTTAAAATTCAGAACACCAGCTATGATAGTCTGTCTCTACTGTGGATATGAAAATACATTTTTAAGCAGAATATGATTTTATTTTAATTCTCTTAACTGGATTCAAAACAGACCCAAATAGAGTCAAGCCATTTTTCTTGTATTTGAGTCTGTTTTAAGTGATTCTTTTTTCTTTTTTTTTTTTACCTCTTAGGCCCTTTGCACTGTCAGATATTTTTAAGTTAATTATATTAAACCAAAGTAACCTACAACATACATGCTTTATAACATAAATTTTTTTTTTCAGCTGGCACAGTTACAAGTTAGCATGAATAGGTTGCCAGAAATGGATCTACCCAAGTCGTATCTATCTAAAAGCTCTTGACCCTGGTCTTAACCCTTTATATTTAAGTAACCATTTACTCACTGAAATGCAGTTTGGAGGATGACAAGGCAGTCAAAGGGTTAATCTGGACCCCATGTGTTTTGGTTGTTTCTTGACCTCTGACATTTGTGGATGGATGGAAGACAGTTTTGTGGCCCAAGTAAACAGCTCGAGTTGGTATTTTGAGACTTGTTAATTAATTAGTTTTGAAGCTTGAAAAATGTGTTAGATCCCACTGGCAAGGATTTACACATTTAGGATGTGAGGAAAATAGAAGCATTTGAGGAAAGATGAGTCATTTTGGAAATATGTGTCTAAACAAGAACTAAAATCTAAAAAAATGTATATATACTAAGTGGTTATGTTATTATAAAAATTATTTATTTTTATGAAATACAACTTCTGAACTTCTGCATTATATAGATGTTTCAGTTGAGAGAGACACTTTTTTTTGCAAATTAATGTGACATTTATTCACTCAATTTCCAGGTCATCAGTGGACACCAATGTTAAGCCCATGATAAACAAATTTTAGTTTCAAAGTTTTTATGGTTATATAAAAATGGCCTTTTTGGATTCACAACTTTAGTTGATTTTTTATTTTATTTTATCTTGCAAATGAAAGATGCTGAAACATTAACACCGAGTTTATTCCAACAAAACATGAAAGCCTAAAATTTTAAAAACACACTAAATTCTCTCTTAAATAAAACAAAATCATATTTTTAATATCCAAATTATGTTCATATAAAAAAAATTCAGTCTGATGTCCAGTCTTTTTATTCTTTAACATCTCTGACACACATTGCTGTGAACTCATTATCACCGTAAAAGTCACTGTTTTCCTTCACTGTAGTTTTACTGCTGAATCTTAACTGGATCCATCAATGTGTTTGAAAAAGACGTGTCTCAGACATCTTGAGGGATACCCTGGTCTCTACAACCTGTGGAACAAAGAAACATGGAGAAACTTATCATTTGTATTTATTTCAACTAGAAAAGATTAAAAGCAGACAGTTTTGAATCAGAACACAGTATTAGAAGCTCTTCCCATAGCACATACCACTTTGCTTAGGTGGTAAGTATCTAAGTATATAGAGTTTTAGGTTGTATGCACTCATGATAAGATAATCTAAATTATTAATTTTGTGATATAAAAAATTATTTATATATCCCTTATATAGCCCTTTTCTGAAGCTTAAAAAAAGTCTGCTTTCTTCTTTAGCTTTGATAGGTGCAGAGATGGCAAAAGTACTCACTTTCCGTACTTGAGTAAAAGTACAGATACTTGTGTTAAAAAATACTCTGGTAAAAGTGGAAGTACTGATTAAACTTCTTTACTCAAGTAAAAGTAACAAAGTACAGGCTTGTAAATTTACTTAAAGTATAAAAGTAAAAGTAGAAACCACTTTTTTAATGCCGTTGCCTACATTTTAAATGGATGTCTGCCAATAGGACTAGATCTCCGTTGTGTTCATTTTCAATCATCTCGTCGTCCATACTACTATGCTAACGCCACCGCCACCAAGCTGCAATGATTTGCCGCCAATGAATACCGCCGAATCTGTCGATTCCTCTTGTAGTGGTGCGTCAAATGCAACGTAGATTCCCATCCAATTAGATTGAATTTGGTATTGATGACGTGAAAAATAATAACGTTAACTCCGTTGAAATGATTCAAAACTAAAGTAACGAGCCAATTTTTTTAAAATGTAAGGAGTAGAGAGTACAGATATTTGTGTAAAAATGTAAGGAGTAGAAGTAAAAAGTCGCCATAAAAATAAGTAGTAAAGTAAAAATATCAGAAAAATCTACTTGAGTACAGTAACGAAGTATTTGTACTTCGTTACTTCCCATCTCTGGATAGGTGTAATGTAATTTTCTTTTGGTTAGATATTAAGATAAGGGGATGTTGAAGAACATTGCCCTTTGTCTTCATTATTAAGCAAATATGCTCACTACGACTGCCAGCTCAATGCCCACGCCTCCTTGTTTAATAGCTGTTACATCCAACTTCTCTGTTTTTTTTTACCCAAAAAATATTTGTGTCAGTTGATTAAAAAACATTCTTCCCCCAAGAATGTACTTGGCTTGTGGGCAGCTACAAATTCTGGTATAGTTTGAAATCTGGAGCAAAGGGCTCTCACATGGTGGATGGAGTGGCTTCTTGAATAGCCTGAATAATTCGCTTTCATCTGTACAGTTTGGGTCAGATGAGGTGAACAGAACTGGGTGATCATATTATAAAAAACACATCAAAACTAGTTTTGATAAGATTAGGCTTCAATTAAGCTTTAGAAAATTAATAGTTCACCTTGTTCATAAAAAACAATATATTCATAGTTAATATTAATAGTTAATAATTAATAATGGTTGTTTTGCATTTTATGACCAGAGAAGGATTATCCAAGGAAGCTGCACTGTCATTCTACAATACATCCTAAGAGCTAACTTAACAGAACAAATGTTACCCGTAACATTTACGGTGACCTATTTTGTCATCTGTTGTTCTAAAGGAAAGGATCATTCCATCATTTAAAAATACAGAAGGTAAAAATTTAAGTTTTAAAACCTTAAAAACAAAGCATTACAACATTTTTATGAGGAAACTTTTGTGAAATTATGTCTCACATAATAGTTAGCGCTTTGTCTACTGAGTAAAACAATTGTGAATTATTATAAGCTGTTAAAGGTATAGGGGAGGATGTTCTTTCTCCGGGTGGATCATCAAAATAAGTGGTCCTCCGAATTATCAGTCATTCGCGTGATATGTTTACGTAAGGCCATCCTACGTGCTCATCTTTTTCTGCACATGTGCACTTTCAGGCATATATGTGTGGTGAGTTATAGCTTCAACAAGTCATTGAAGCTCTTCTTTGAAAGATGCAGAGTTGTAAGAGAAAAAGTGTCTACAAAGTGTATGAGAAAAAGAGAAGGGCCTCAGAAGACAGAAACAAGACCAGAGTGTTTTTGGGAGATACTTTGTAAGTGATGGCGTACACTGAAAGCACAGGTCAGGCTTCCTGCTGATGCTTCGGTTGCAAAGTTTCTACACAACAGGTAAAGTTTTGCATTCTATTTGAAGAAATCCGTTTCACATTATGGTAGTAAAAGCTATCTACCTCTATATTGTAAGTTTCCAGGGAAGAAAAGTTTATTGATTTTGTAATTTGCATCGTTAGTAGTTATACAGAGATCCTTACTTACCCTGAAAACTTGTCACAATTTCCACTGCAGCTCACGCACACATACAAGCATGTCATGATTTTTTTAATGCACCAGTAGTCTTATTTGTTTGGAAACTTTTTATATATAAATATGGGTGAGATAAGATCCATCAGAGCAACTGTCTTATCATTGCGTCTCCGCACATCCTTGAGGAGAAACGGGCTGGTGCACACGTTTAATAGGCATTCCCTCTCGGGAGCTTTTACAGGGTTGTGCATGTGCATGGAGAGGGCGGGTAGTTTCAAAAATGTATGAAAATCCTCCACTATACCTTTAAGAAGCTAGCCACCTAGCCAAATTTGAGTCATTGCGTGTACCAGAGGACATGTTATAGAATTGGTTAAGAAAAAGTCAAACCTACCTTCAGAAACTTCCATGAAGGAATGCGAGGAGAGAGAAAAGAGACAAAGACAAAGTTAGTCATAAATAATTTCTGCATTCATATATCAAAAACAACGTTGGGGGGGTGTTTCAAAATAATCTGACCTCATCTTTTGTAAACCAAATACATTACATCATCATTACATTACATCATCTATTAAAAGCATTTACAGGAACATAACTCTAGGTTACTGGATCAATGATCCAACGAAAACAGGGAGACTTAAAGTGGGGAAGGCGATAGGAGTAAAGAGAAAGGGATGCAGAGGGGGACAGGGTGTGAGGCCAGAGAGTGGGAGGAATATTATAGGAGAAGGAACGAGAGACCAAATAGAAAATAATCATTAGATAAAGATAAACAAGGATCAGTGAGGCAAGATGACTCCTATATCATTATATATGGAGAGAGAATGTGAAAAGAGATCTGCAGACCAATCAAGGGGAAGGAAAGACTGATAAGAGTCCCATGGCTCTGATTAAATTCCTGGAAGCAATAAGAAAAAATAAGAGGGGAACTGAAAAGGAGCATAAACTCCCAAAGCTGCAAAGAATTGCATTGCAATAATGATCTGACACATAATACTCCAACCAAAAAAGCGGCATGAAAAGCCTCACCAACCAGAGAGTTCAATATGAACATACAGCTCTGCAGCAGCTAACCGAAGCACAGATTTTAGCAGCAGTGGTTGAGAGCAGCCTTAGGGGTCTGAAACACTGTTGGAAGTCTTGTAAAAAAAAAAAAAACACACACATCAGTGTAGACAGAGCTGCTCTTTCCAAACAGACACCAACAATCCCTGCACTGCAATCACAAACACACAATATGTCTTACAGGCTTGTTGGAGCTGATGCACTTTGATCGCACGCACGCAGCAACCACCTCACATCTGCACATCCATGCATGCTCACAAAGGATGCAGCTGTGTACTAATTCAAAGGCTTCCTAGCCTCACTGAGGAGATAGGGACTCTTTCTGTGTGTTGGAGCTTGTTCTGAAATCATTCTTGGAGAAGAACAGCTGACTTTCTGACAGAGAAAGATGTTAAATTAGCACATCTTCCAGTGCAAATATTCATAAATAAACATGTTAAACACAATTGGGTAAACTAGAGGTAGCAAGTGCACTGGTATTATTTTATTCTAATCATACAATGTAATTGTGACATATCAATTATACTGACATTGTACAAAACCCTTTCCAATTATTTTTTCATTAAATGCTCATGACCAATACACCTATAACTCAAAATCCAACATTTGTCAAAGGAAAAGGGGCAGATCCTGCAGGTAAGGGTATTTTTATTTTGCTGACTAACTGAAAGGATTTACCAACACGTTGCATAATGTCAAATACTTGTTCCTAGAAGCATAAACATTAAGACTTTTTGAGCATTAACAGTTTGAAACCCTTATGTCTGCGTAGGATTTGTTCCAGCTAATACACCAAAATAAAATAGAAAGAAAATACACCAAGTAGAAAAGTTTAAACTAGAATTACGATGACATAAATTAAAATTCTTAAAATTTCTGTAGCAATATTATTGTACAAAACTCCTTCTAGGAGAGAAATGGTAATACTAAGAGAAATAACTTGTTACCAGATGCATTATGGGTAGATAGTTAGGATATCTAGAGGGAGAGAGAAAAAAATGTTTTGGGGGATTTTTTTTTCTCCTTTACAGGATGAAGTTAATATAAAAAAAAAACTTAACATTTTCTTTCAAGAATAAAATTAAATGTAGAACAAAGTCTGTTGAATGGCACAATAAAATGAAGTCAAAATAACGCTGAAAGTGATCTGCCTTTTCCGAGCAGGTTTAATGTGCATCAGTGCACCACTTGAGTCTGACTAAACAGGATGATTTTATGCTCGAAGAAAAATAAGGCAAAAAACTGCTTTCCTAGCCACATAGGTGTTTTTGCAAAAGCCTGGTTTGGATTGAAAGGTTACAGTTTAATCTCAATATAGCTGATTTATTTTTTTCCTATTTCAACAAAGCTGTGTCCAGCTTTCTAGCCTTTTTGACATTTCAACGTTACTCTCAACTTTCTGACTCAGGTAAGTAATTTATGGATGAAAAAAAAATTTTATTGTCTAAAATTCACTTCTTAGTTAAAGCTTAAGTGTGTAATTTTCAGCGACATCTAACGTCCAGACTGCAGACCTCAGCAACATGAACATCTCCCCCCCATCGCTTCTCCCCCCCAACAGTACGGCGAGCGTCACGGGACAAAATGTCTTCCACGATGTTTGTTGGCTCTGCGCTGCCGTAGCGCAAAGATGTCTGCCTCCATGGCTGCGAGACCCGCTCCTATGTAATTATAAATAACGAATTCTAAGGTAACGCAAATATTAAGGTTAAGAGGCTGAGCTCGTAGATGATGATAAATAACATAGTTATGTATAATATATTACATTTCTGACTGTATATCCCTGTAATTATTACACACTGTAGCTTTAAGTGTTTCTTGTTAATGCTAGGGGATGCCTGTTCTACACATACATGGATTATATTGGAAATAATTTGCTGCCATCTAGTGGTAAAGGTTATACCCAAATATCACTAATTTAGCTCACTCCTTAAAAAAATGCCAATATTATATGTAAGGTACAGGTTCTACTCGAACTTGTTTTTATTTTGTTTTGTTTTTTTACTAAAATTGGACATTTGTCAAGGAAACAGAGCACCAGTATTTACACCTTAAATAACTCCTGTGAAATAATTATGTATTATATATGACCCCTATCCCGATGTAAGAACCATTATGCAGATTGATTTTCGTTCGATCACTAAACCATTAAAACAGACATAGATGTAAATGTATCTTCAACCTTTAATCTTAAATATTTTCTCTTTTTATATCACTTTAGAAATTATAGCAGACTAGAGCTGATTTATTCAAGCTTTTAAGGCTTTAAATTTAAATAACTATGTGTCATTACACAGTGACAGTAAAATAAAAGGGTAAAAAGTGACTCAAAATCATCTAAAAGGAAACAGAAGAAAGAGCAGAGGGAAGATAAATGCAGTTACTGACTCGCCAGGATGACCATGTCCATTCCCCAGAAGATGCTCATGATCCATCCAACCATTATAACGGCTGTCAGGATCTGGATGAGGGCGGCTGCCACATTGAGCCAGAACACACAGCACATGCCTCGCTCTGAGATCAGCTCGCTGCGCGCTCCACACAGCACAGTGAACGCCGAGACCAGAGTTCCTGCAACATAAATAGAGATAGAGAGAAAATCTTGAGCCGCACAACTTATCAAAAACATGAAGTTAATAATCACTGCAAAGTCATCAAACAGCAGCACTTATCCCTTCTGTGTATTTGTCTTTGTGATATTTGTGGACTGACATGATTGAAGGCTTTTAAAGAAGTTCTCCACTCTGGTTCATTTCTGGTGAGTTATACCAAACAACTGTCTGGTCTGGGCAATAGACCAGAGAACTCTAAAGAAAACATTTCACAAGATATTCTAAAATAAAACTTACAGAAGGGCCTTGAGTTGCAGGATAACAGATAGGAAGTCTTCTCCTTCCTCATCCTGCATAATTACATCCTATTACTAAATGAATAAAAAGCAATAAGTCGTGGAAATATAATTAGTTTTTTATTTCTAAAAATTAGTACAGCTAATCTAAGGTGTTGGCATTCATCTTCCTGACACAAATTTTTGACTTTATGAAGTTCATAAAATTTCCCGGAAATCCCACAGTCCCCTGTCTCCTCTGACTCAGAGCAATCAGACAAACACACATTTATTCAAACACACACACTACCTCCTTTGTACCGCTTTACAACCCATGCTTACAACAACAAACCTCACAAAAGTACTTATTCCGCTTCAACTTTATTTACATTTTGCCAAGTTACAATAGCAATTATTTTATTGTGATTTCATTGCAATTAATTAACAGAAATGGAAATAAATAAAGGTGTTGAGTGGGTATGTTTTGGTGGCCTTAGGATTGTGTCTCTGTTATTCGCAGATGATAGAGTTCTATTGGCTTCATCGGGGTATTATCTACAGCTCTCTCTGGAGTGGTTCGCACCCGAGTGTGAAGCGGAATGAGGATCAGTGCCTCCAAATCTGGGACCAAAAGGGTAGAGTGCCTTCTCCAGGTTGGGGAGGATATACTGTCCCTAGTGGAGGAGTTTAAGTATCTTGGGGTCTTGTTCACAAATGAGGGGAAGACGGAGCGGGAGATAGGCGGCGGCGGCATCTGCTGTGAAGCTTGCCCTTTACCGGTCTGTTGTGGGGAAGAAAGAGCTGAGCCAAAAAGCAAAGCTCTCGATTTACCGGTCGATCTACGTTCCTACCCTCATCTATGGTCATGAGCTTTGAGTCATGACCGAAAGAATGAGATCCCGGATACAAGCGGTTGAAATGAGTTTTCTCCGTAGTGTGTCTGAGCTCTCCCTTAGAGATAGGGTGAGGAGCTCAGTCATCCGGGGAGGACTCAGAGTAGAGCCGCTGCTCCTCCACATCGAGAGGAGCCAGTTGAGATGGCTCGGGCATCTGGTTAGGATGCCTCCTGGACGTCTCCCTGGTGAGGTGTTCCAGGCACTTCTCACCTGGAGGAGGCCCAGGGGGAGACACACTGGAGAGTCTATGTTTGTCATCTGGCCTTTGAGCACCTTGGGATTCCCCCAGAGGAGCTGGCCAAAATGGCTGGGGAGAGGGGCGTCTGGGCCACCCTACTGAAGCTGCTACCCCCGCGACCTGACTGGGGAAGAAGGGGAAGAAGGAAATGGAAATAAAAAACTAAGTTCCGTTAAAAAAAGAATAAAATCCAGGGCAAAATCATATTACTGTTGATTAAGGTCTATATTACTAAATCTCAACACCAGCCTCAAAGATTCGTTACACATTCAGGTTACTAGGTTACCTACTATAGAGATTATTTATGGACCAAAATCAAATTTTTTTAGGTGCATATGAACATGTGCTTACAAATGGAAGAAAATTACCTCCACACAACATAGCCTCATTATCCCTATTGAGAGGATGATGACTAAAGATGGACAAGAACTATCCAGGATAAAATACTTTACTTTAACACACGCCCGTACTTATTTCCCCAATTAAAGTCTAAATTGAATTGCTTTCCTGAAAAACTTTAAAATGAAAAAGCAATGTGCTAAAAAATCAGTATCTGGCTAAATAAAAATGATGGAGACGATCATGTCGCTGATTCCAGACAGGATTGACAGAAAGGCTAAATACAGAACATGCCACTGCTTTCTGTGGTTGTTTCAGGACAGATGATGAAAGGTCAAAGATGGTTGCACACTTTTGCAAGACCCTTTGTGCTCTAATCAAGAACAATGTCCGAACAACTAATTATCTTGCAGATAAAGCTGTATCTGTCATGTTAAAGATATAGAGTGATTGTAGCTCAAGAAACAACATGAACAGCTTAATACAGGTAGTATATATGCATTTGCTTTTAATTGTGATTTTAGGATGCTTCCATAAGCCCACAGAGATGTTGACCTGCTATTGATACATGAGCTGCTGTAAGGGATCGTCATCTGCCTGAATAAACCTTCATTCTTCATCCTGCTCCACAGGGAAGACAGAAAAATCTTGGCTCCACATTTGTTGTAACCATAAACACTTCTTATAAATGTGTGTCATAGGATCTGTGCACACAAATCACATTATGTATCCCCTTGTTTCCATGACAACACATGGTCCGGAATAGAATGCTCTGTATATAAAGGCATGACTATTGCTACTGATATGAAATTAATTGATGATAACTTTATCTCCTGTGGTACCTTCTTTTGTCTCACCAGTGATCAACCTCTGTTATGTTTCGCCCTCTTGGGTTTATTCATCCGTTTATGCTCATAAATGGATCTTAGGTTGTATCGGCACTGTGGTCAGAGGTTCTAGGTTTGTGTTTCACTATAAACACCATTTATCAGATGACTAAACACTGGTTTTCCAATATACATACTCAGTGGTAGGAAAATAATTTTACCAATGTACACTGCTAAAAAAATAAATAAAGGGAATACTATATAACACATCCTAGATCGCCACAAATGAAATATTCTCCTTGAACACTTTGTTCTCTACAAACTTGAATGTGCTGACAACAAAATCACACAAAAACAAGAGATCAAATTTATTAACCAATGGAGGCCTAGATTTGGAGAAACACAAAATTAAAGTGGAGAAACTCTGGAAGCTGATTTAAATTTGATGTAATGTCCTTAAACCAGGTGAAAATGAGCCTCAGTATTGTGTTGCCTCCACGTTCCAATATGACCTCCCTACAGCACCTGGGTATGCTCCTGATGAGGTGGATGGTCTCCCGAGGGATCTCCTCCCAGACCTGCACTAAAGTATCCTCTTACTCCTGAACAGTCTGGTGAAACGTGATGTTGATGGATCCAGACATGATGTCCCAGATGTGCCCAATTGGATTCAGGTCTGAGGAACGGGCGGGCCAGTCCATAGCTTATATGCCTTCAAGGTCTAGCATTGCTCTGCATTTGGAGGAACCCAGGGCCAACTGCACCAGCATATGGGCTTACAAGGGGTCTGAGGATCTCATCTCGCTACCCTAATGGCAGTCACGCTACCTCTGGTGAGCACAGAGGGCTTTGCAGCCCTCCAATGAAATGCAACCACACACCAATACTGACTCACTGCCAAACCAGTCATGCTGAAGGATTTTGCAGACAGCAGATTGCTCTTTATTGTATCTCCAGATTCTGCCACATGTGCTCAGCCTTGACCTGCCATCACCTTTGAAGAGCACAGGGTGCCAGTGGTAAATTTTCCAATCCTGGTGTTCTCTGGCAAATGCCAAGCATCCTCCACAGAGCTGGGCTGTGAGCACAACCCCTATCTGTGGATGTGGATCTAGCAGTTTTTAATCAGGGTGTGCTGAGTAAAAAGGGCGTGTCTAATGAAGCCTTCTTTTGATGCTTTTGTCTTCTTCCGGAAAACCACGTGATTTCTTCTTAAAATTATTTGACCCTATTTATCTATCTCAATGAAATTGACTTAATTTAATAATTTATTGCCTAAACTGTCTAAATTAGCAAATGAAGAAACCTCTTTAAATCAGGCACTGTAAAAAAAAGTCCTATTTTTTGATAAAATAACTAACACCCAAATACTCATCCACTAGAAATTTGAAATTTTGTTGTTTGATCAGCAATGACACAGCCTCACACAGGAGGAACAAACCGAATGCTTTTGTGGCCAGCTAACAGTATAAAAATAATTCAGCTTTTCTGGGAAACAAGTAATGGATAGACAGCATACAATCCATGTTCTTTGCAAAAATCAGTTAATGACATCTAGTAAAATAATTGCCACAGAAAGTCAACATATTTGAAGGATTATTTTTAGTATAAATAATTTTAATAACTTAAAAGTAATGATAATTGTATCTAAAACATTTTTAGTCTTATTCTTTTTTTATTTTGAAAATATTGCACTCATTACTCTTTTCTGATTTTTAAAATATGAGAGCTGTCATAGTGTCTGTGCTGCTCAATAGTGAGCAATGAATGAAGCATCACCTTTAGGCAAAGCGTTGGGTTGGATGGCTTCATTGCTTTGTTAGGATTCATTTGGACATCACTAGGTTGTAGAGTCTTATCTCATGCTACCATGAGTGTGAAAGCATCAGCAACATTGAAAATTGACCAAAACATCAGTCAGAAAGCATGGGTACTAAGAAATGGTCTGCAAAATTATTCCTTTATTGAGTGTGTCTTTCTAATTGCCAATAATTTCCACCTGTTGTCTATTCTATTTCCACAACATGTGGAATTGATTGGCAATCAGCATTGCTTCCTAAGTGGACAGTTTGATTTCAGAGAAGTTAGATTGGATTAAAGTTATATTGTGTTGTTTACGTGGTCCCTTTATTTTTTTTAAGCAGTGCACTTTTATTTACACTCATGCATGGGAGAAATTCCTGTGAAAAAAATACAGACATCCTTAGATTATCAAGATGAGTCTTTTTCCCTTCAAAGCTCTTTCAATGACATCCATCATGGGCACTCGGATCAAATCTGCCCTGTCTCCTGCTAAAAGCAGGTATGAGAAATAACCCAATATGTATGGAGGACAGCTGGAGGCAGGTGTCTTTTTATCTAGTCTGAGCAGATTTTATCTAGTTTAGGAGCTTGGCACACCTCCCTAGCACATGTTTCTACTGTGACATGTCCCAGCTTCCAAA